ATTTCACCCATAAAATTTTTGTTCACTTGGTGTAATTCAAGATTATTTTCTTTAAATCAACACTGCACTGCATTATATATTGTCAATATGTAAAATAAACTTCAGAATGACCAATAATTGTACTGTAAAAATGTAAAAATAGTTTATGTTCAAGAGAGTCTCAAGCAAGAAGCTTCCTCCACTGAGCAGGGACACACACTGATGCCATTTTGGGTGAGTCAAGTGGCTGTTTGGTGCACTAAAAACTAGTTCCCTGTACTTCAATTATGTTAAATAATTGTTAAAATGACTAAAACTTTAATATAAGACTTGGAAAATTATTGAATAGTACAACCTTCTTGATATTTACTCAAATGGTAACGAATTTAAGCCCTAAAACCGATTACTGTATTGGTGGAGTAATACTACAGCTGGTGAGCAGGCAAAAGCAGGCGAAAACATGTTGGGAAAAATTCGTAAGGAATTCGTTAACCGAAGTGAAGAATCTTATGGAAGGTAATTCGTTAACCTAAATTTCGTTAACCGAGGCGTTCGTTAACCAAGGGATCACTGCACTGTATATTATATACAAATGTAAATATATATTAAGTCCTGCCTGCAAAGTCTTATTATACATAATTTTAAGTAGAATAAAGTTTAGAATAAAAAGTGAGTTATCTGAAGAGCATAATTGATTTAGAAAGGGAAAAGAAATTAGAAAAGCTGTATTTGGTTTGAGAATTTTGAGTGAAAGGGCTGTAGAGGTTCAAAGAAATTTGTACATCTGCTTTGTTGATTTTGAAAAAAGCTTTTGGTAAAGTAAAGCACAATAAACTTATAGAGCTCTTGGAAAAAATAGGCATTAAGGAAGGAGTTATTAAAATCTTAAAGAATCTTTACTGGCAATGGGAGGCTGCAGTGTTAATATATAATGAACAGGAAACTGTATACTCCCTCGGCCGTATACAGTACCCTTTACCTATACAGTATTGACTATATTCGTACTGAACTGTAAAACTGCAAAGTTTGTAAACATGTTTATCCAATTGTAAACAAGTATGACAATTTTACCTCCTCCTCCTCCTCAGTACAAATGCAAACTTCTTCATCAGCTGGGTAACAACATGGCAATGTCATGGCAGAGCCATACATAGAGAGAGTTTGATCAACTTGGTGATTGAACCTGATTGGTTGAGCCGGTCCCATGACATGCGGGCACCATATTGATAATAATATGAGGACCTTTTTTATAAAGGTTTCTCCATATTTACAGTAATATCTCCGTTAGCCGGAATCCCTCAAACTCGTAAATCTTTGAGTCGGAATTGAAATTTGCTTGGAAAATCATTCCTGAGAAGACTTCTCACCCGCTGACCAGCAACATGGCGCCTTTTTTTTTTATGGGAATTAGCCCACCCGGGCACAGGTCAAATGACCCACAACGGGGCCTGGGGGACGAAAAAAAAAAAGAACAAAGAAATTGAAAATAGAGAAGAAAAAGGTTATACTGTGTTAATCTACACCACAAAGATGCCGGAAAACCAGCTTTTTAAAGTGAGACATTGTATAATTATGGAAACACAGAAGAAGGCAGAGCATTCCACAGTTTGGCTGTGTGAGGAAAGAAGGAGTTACTATAACTGGTTATTCTCGTGTGACCGACATCCACAGAGAAACGGTGGGCACCTTGGGCAGGATGTGTGTTACGAGCCCACGGCCTTGCCAGCGGTACACAGGATGCCAAATCCACCGAACATTGCCCGTTAAAGTACCTGTAAAAGAGAGAGAGAGTGAAGCAACATTGCGGTGAAGAGAAAGGGAAGAGAGATTATCGACTAAAGGAAGAGAGTTAATAAGACGAAATGCCTTTGATTCCACCCTTTCTAATAGTTGGACAGAAGAGCCACCCAAGATATGATAGCAGTACTCCAAGTTAGGACGAATGAATCCCTTATATACTTGGAGCAACTGCTCAGGAGTGAAGTAGCTACAGCATCTGTACAGCATTCCCAACTTTTGGGAGGCAGCTTTAGCTATATTAAGGATGTGTGATTTCCAGGACATATTGGAAGAAATGGTGAGGCCTAACGTATTTATTTCAGAATTTGGCAGGATGATAGCATCCTGAAATGTAATTGGTTGGCTCTGTCAAGGGATTGGCTCAGCCAGTCAGGTTAGACCACCGAGTTGAACTCTCTCTCTCTATTCATGGCTCTGTCTCTGACTCATTCCCTCCATCTTTGTTCTTGTTTACACATACCATGTGTCTCTGACTTAATGGTTTTTTCATTATTTCTCATTTTGTGTGTTATGCAATCATGCTTAAACGCCCCAGTGATAGTTCCTCTTGTGCTGGGGGCAACTTGATGTGATGTAATAAGGCATAATAAGAGTGGAAATGGACCAGCAAAGACTGGGAGAGAATTTTTTTTCTGACTTATTGCATTACTCAATCATACTTAAATGCCCAAGTGATACCGGAAGTTCCTCTTTATTGATATTGATAATGAAACAGTTTATTTCGGTAGAAGAACACAGATACAGAGTCGATTTAAAATCATAATACTGTATTAATATGGCTGAGCCAGTTAAGAGCCTGAGCTCTCTTGTAGGCACCAAATATGAGCTCTCTTGTAGGCACCTAATATGAGCTCTCTTGTAGGCACCTAATATGAGCTCTCTTGTAGGCACCTAATATATATTGTACATATATCTCAAGGAAGTATTATGTAACATTTAGTATCATCTGGAATAGTACATACCAGAATGTTACCACTGTTATCACTTCGATATTTATTTATTTTATTTATTTATTTTATTTTTTTACATTTATATTACAGTATAAGTATACTGTATACAGTACATACTTTACAGTGGAGTTGATATACATAAATATGATAAGGGAGGGAAGCAGTACAACATGGGTTGTATTAAGGTGGAACAAGAGGACAGAGATGTCAGTATTATGGTTAGTTTTCAAATATATTTATTGCAATGTTAATTTCTATCCATCTACATGATAATTTCTGATAAAACGGTTTTGGTGGTACAATAAAAGCAGGAATATATAGCAGGTATTACCCCCAAAAATATTAATACTTAGACAATAGACATTTTTTCAGAGATGATTTAAAGGAAAGGAGCATAGTCTTTGCTTGGATGGGTGGAGGTAAGTTGTTCCACACCTTCACACCATGATATTTTATGGAGGTCTGGAACTGAGAGGAGCGCTGGGTGCCTTAAGTTGCATCTCTGATTATTCCGGAACTGGAAATAATTATTGTAAAGGAAGTGATTGACAGATTTGTAAACAAATAGGGCACAGCAGTAGGTGTTAATATCCTCGAATTTTAACAGTGGTAGCTTGATGTGAAGTGTTATAAGTCATAATAAGAGTGGTTATGGACCAACAAAGATTGGTAGAGACTTGAACTTGCCATCCTAGACCATCCCTACCATCCTCAATACAGGTAAATAACAGTCTAAATTTATGCTTTATATTGCTTATTTAAGGCTTATTATGTTTGCTTTATATGTTTGCTTTATTTTTTTGCTTGACAATAAGCGTCAGCTATTGGGGTACACCTGTACCATTTTAACATTAGGATAAACTAGTGACTTCCGTGGAAACTCTGTTCTCTAAATATTAGCATGCATAATTTTATCTTGAAAATATTGAATCCATTTTTATACACTTTTGCAAATGCCTCATGAACTGCAGCCATGCCAAGTCTGATAATATAGTAATTGAGGTTTAGTAATTTTTTTTCATGCCAAGATAAGATTAATTATTTATAAAATTTTTTTATCTTGTGTACACAGTATATTCATTCAGATCCTGTCACAACTCATTTTCTCTTAAGGAAGGAGATAAACTACAGTATTAAGGTACCATATGTGGTAACAATTTTGGTTCATCATTGTCAGTTGATATACAGTACAAGTGTAGTCATGTTTGCAAAGCAGAATTCTTTTTGTATCATCTGTACTGTACTGTACTAAGATATATAAAAAAAAACTAAATGTCCACTACTGAAGGTACCCTTTGTTACATTTATGTTCCTTATAATGGGCAGTTGAGTGGAGCAAAGATGGTAATGATGTTAAAGTGCTTTCAGTATTTGTTAGATGTAGTGCATTGATCGTCTTTTAAAGAGAGTGCTGTAATTGTTTTTTAATATGATACAGTAATTTTGTTCTGCAATGTGGAAAGATCAACAGAGTAATATAATTAAAATAATATGAATCACTAACAAAATTATTAAGATGATTGAGCAGGCTAATGGAAAAGGTCAGGGAATGACAGGAGACCCACACAGTGGAGAAGCATTGTGATAGAATGTAGAGGACTGACTGAGGATGGGAGTGTTTATGAACAAGAGGGATTAATTATGAAACAATGGTTCATGTTGTATCACTGAACGTAAGTTAAAGACTTGAAGAACAACTTTATTTCCCGTGAAATTTTGAAAGGAGTTTGGTTGATAGAATTTGGGTAAAAAAGTAGGAACCATAAATTATATAAGGTGCTCCTCTACTTACGAACGAGTTACGTTCCTGAGGCTTGTTTGTAAGTTCAACTTTACTCCTGTAGATACCAAACATATTTGTAAAAAATGAAAAGATTATGGATATTTAGTACAGCTATACCCTTTAATACAGCCTTAAAACCTGGCTCACTCTTCTCTTAGGTAATGTTTGTTCTATCTGGAATTTTCTTAAAAATAATCCAGTCTCATTCACATTAAACACCTGTTCTGGCAGGTAATCCCCCTCAGTGATGATGTTTGTATCTCTGAAACTTTGTAAGTTGAACGTTCTTAAGTAGAAGAGCGCCTGTGTATACAAATATATATATATATATATATATATATATATATATATATATATATATATATATATATATATATATATATATATATATATATATATATATATATATATATATATATATATATACTGTACTGTACAGGTATATAAGAATGCAGAAGAATCTGTACATGCCATTTTTGTTAACGCAGTTCGGAGTTGGAAAGTCTACGTTCAGAAATCCAAGGTTTACAACAAGAAATCTTGGTTCTTCATGATGCTCAGCGTAAACGGAATGAACGTCCATCTGGCACCATGGCTCAACGTTCTGCTCGAGGATCCGGTAAACAAATTTCATCAGGTAAGAAATTAAATATTTCTCTTGCTCTCAAATAGGTAGCAGTGGTAATACACTTTATAAATAATTAATATTGACCATATTTTGTATTGTACTTCAATTCATAAACTGCTCAGCTCACATTTAGAGTTTTATGTCATTTAAGCCACAAAGTTTGTTTAAAAGAGGCTGGCTCAAGATATTTTATCCAAAACTAAAAGCTTTTGATTGTTTCTATAAGTTCACATATACTGTACTGTGCAGTAGTAAACTGTAATAAGTTTTCAGCACTAGCTTCCTGTTTACTGTTGTGAACTTAAATATTTTTGCTGCTGAGCTCTCAGTCATTATGTCAGTGACTGACATGCTGAAGGAAAATATACTAATCCAACCCTGCTTTGATTGTGAATGACTAAACATACTGGTCGGTGAAATTTTACATTTATATTATTCCCAAGGTCTTCTATCTTTTAATAATAAATATTTTAGCTTCCCGTTCAGGATCAAGCAGTGATGCCAACACACCCACCAGGCGTGTTCGCCCATCTAGTGCACGCCCTCCAGCCCCTGGCACTCGTCCCCAGCGTTCTCCTAAGTCGTCCAGTGAACCACGTGAGATTCCTCCGCCTAATAGGACACGAAGGATCCCAACTCAACAGAGCCCTACAAAGCTTCCACCAACCAAGTCACCACCTAAGGCTTCTTCTTCTTCTTCTACCTCTTCACCATCCAAAGGTTCACCCGGCATTATGCGGGGTTCAGTACACACTACTAAATCTGGTAGTAGCAACAGAAAACCAACAACTTCATCGTCAGCCTCCACTCCAAAAGCTAGTCCATATGGATCACCAAAACACAGCTCTATCGGACGTGCATCATCGTCTTCAGCTTCTTCTAAAACACCAACACCAATAGCCTCTCCACGCAAAAATGCAGCTTCAATGTCCCCTCATCGTAAATCTGTTGGAGCATCTCCCCAGCACAGGGTGACTGGATCAGCATCTCCACAGCCCAGGTCTGCTGGTCCAGCTTCTGCCAAACCTTCCACATCTCGGTCTTCCTCTAGAACCTCTACTCCATCATCATCAGCTAAGTCTTCCCCATGCAAAGCAAACACTACCAGCAAATCCCCCTCTAAAGTTCCTAAACCAAAAGTTGGCACCAGTCCTAGCAAGAGACGGGAGGAAAGTGCCAGCCCAGCCAGAACACCTAAGTCATCTAACAAACAGGAAACCATTCGAGAATCTTCAGCTGTGAGTAAACAAGTGATCTGTTTCTGTTTTTCATTTGAGGTTACACTATTAGTTAGTAGAAAAAATATACAAGGCAGGCAAATATATATACTGTATATAGCAAAAGAAAAAATGATTAGTAGATGGTGCTAAGGTTAATAATGTGATAAATTCTATGAAAGTACAGTAAGACCCCATTAGTCGGACTATTTGGGGCTCGAGCTAGTCTGACATATCTGAAAGTCCGACGTATGTGTAACCATGGTAATTTCGACCACTATTTTACTGAAAAATAACATCCAAAAACAAAATTAAAGTTTATAATACTTATTTACAGTGTACTACTTACATTATAGCAGACGAATCTTGATGAATCTTGAGTTGGAGGATAAAGGGGGCTGCTTAAACTTACTTTACTGTAGTCTCACTTATACTACAGTATGCCCAGATAATTCGTGGATTTTTATTTCATTATCCTTTATTATTTGCGGATGACACCCTGGATGTACTCAAGAATGTCTGTGGGTAGTTTTAAAGTTGCCGGCATTTTCGCGGCCGGGACAGGGAGCCATTTGTTCTAAAGACGGTAATTTTCTTTACCTGTATTGTATATATGTGTGTGTGTGTGTGTAGACAGACACACAAAACACATACAATTAAATAATAATGGGAAAATCCTCTCCCAAATAATCAGAAGCAAATGTTGAGTCTACCATCAAGTCTACTTTCAAAAGTCTGAAAATTTACGTACGGTTGTTGTTTTATTAATAATGGGAGCGGTCTATGCACTAATTCAATGACATATCCTGGTATAAGTTAATAACAATGGAATTATAAGATTTAAACCATGTTACTAACCATTAAAGGTAACTGATGATGTCTACTTTACACCATCATAGATGCATTGGCCAAAACATTGTCCCAACTGAATTGCACTTGTGACAACAAAGTCAGGTTTAAATAGTCTAAGTTGTACCCTTAAGATATAACAAATGCAGGTATGTGTTCGTTAGCTTGTACTGTACATGGTAAAAATAGAGGATCATTTGGACAACGTGGTCTTCTTGAAATGATTATGTCATGGTCACTTCTAAATCTTAAGATTCACAATTAATATAACTAAAATGGTGATCATGAATGATTAGTAGGCCTTCCTCGCCTGAGGCTCTGTGCGTCTGTCTTCCACCGAGGGTTGTTCAAGCGCTGCATGACTGATGCCATCCAGTCGCTCAACTTGGCATCACCACACTGATTTTTGCGTGAAAATATCTTAATCCTATTTTGGATTATCTCCTAAACTGTAAAATTTAATTGTTTATCTTTGATAAACTTATTACAGTATTTTATTACAAAGTGGGTTTTTATTAATTTTGGTAATTAAACAAATTGTAGTTTAGAAGATATAAATTTATACTTCCTGCTAATTGCACTCTTTCTCCCTAGTCATTTTGTGGCATATTTAAACACTTACTTTGTTAGGTCATCCAAATAACTAGGATTATAAGGTTACACACAACTTAATATTCTAATTTTCACTGTATTTGCCGGCATAAAAGATTCATCGCCGCATGACATACATCCCTATTTTACAAGGATTTTTGGGGGTAAAAAAAAAATTAAAAATGTCAATACACTTCATACATTTATTGAGCCATACATTTTAAAGTGTTTTTCGGGGGGAAAAAATATTTTGTGCATGTAAATACAGTACAGTATCCTGCCAATACAGTGTACTACTATTTAATTGCATCAAACACACCTTAACCACATTTGGAAGATAATTAATTTTAAAATTTCCTCCGCCATGCGTGCAGGAATTGGCGGGCGAGGAGTGTAAGCGACGGTTAGTAGCAACCGCACTCAGTGTCTCACTGTCCATTGTCATATGCATATCTAGGCTACTCGCTTTCATCTTGTAGATTACTCTAGTTCATTTCTTACTGATATCCAAAATACGCACTGCCTACCAATACAGTATAATGTGTCGTTTAGTGATTAGATGATGTGACCGTATGCCCAGTGGAAGCAAATTTTAGTCAGCATAGAGGACTTCATTTCTATTAGTTTTCTAACTAAAGTTTTGCAAAAATTATATCATTAATGTATCATCATCATGCCAGATAATGTAGCTATCAAATGAATGAATAGAAATGTACTGTACTTTTACTTCATAGGAAGAATACAGTAATTAATTAAATAAAAATTAAGACTGAAGATGGCGAGAGGAGTTTGCGTGAAAAAGTCACTGAATGGTGCTTACATTGGGATCTTGTGGACTATGACACAATCAACAAGATGACAGATACTTCCAGTATATGGAAATTATAATTACGTATATAAATCGGGTTGATACACTGTAGATTACTAAATGTACATCATCAAAAATGTAGCATATGTTCTTACTATTTTTACTTGACAGTTAGATTTGTGTTTAAAAATAAATTATAAACATTGATTAGTATCCATTACATTTGGCTGTAATTCGTCATGGGAAAGAAGAGTTGCCAAATGCTGCTACAAGAGAAATTTTCAAGATTTTTCAATTATTATGACATTAAACTTTTACTAATAATTTTTATGTTCATAAATGTATTGTATAATCATATTAAAGAAATAAATTTTCCCTTTCATATAGTAATACACCAAGTGCTATAAATAGAGATGAAATATCACTATCAACTTGCATATGTCGTGCCATAACAGGCCACACAATCTGTCATCATGATCTAGGGAAGAGGATGGCTACTATTGGTGTTTTATGAATACTATTATATCTCTTTGTGATTAGGAGACATCTGTTACAACCTTTTTGGAACCTAGTGTAAAAGCCGTACCATTTGTTTAAAACCCATTACCTGTATGACATTTTGCCTACTCTGCATGGTACAGTCCTGTAGGCTACGTACAGTCCTGTAGGCTACGTACAGTCCTGTAGGCTACGTACAGTCCTGTAGGCTACGTACACATACAGTACTTCTATTCAGGGGTGGGTCCAGGAATATCAAAGGGGGGTGTCCAAGTAGTGGGTGGGAACATGGCGAGCACAATGAACCCACCCAGCTGAGGGGTTTTGAGGGGGGTGCTGTGAGACCCCCCCCCCCCAGGATATTTTTTTTTAAGTCTGACCAATATCATGGGTATTTTGAAGCCATATGCACTTGATATTAGGAGATATTCTGAAGTCAATAATAATTACCTTTTATTATACAAAAATGCCTTAATACAATAACACTGCATTAAAGAAAAAGTATTGGATTTTTCTTATGAAAAGGAGGGGGAGTCCGGACTCCCAGAGGCCCCCTTCCTGAATCTGCCTCTGCTATTACTGTTAGCCAAGTTCACAAATGGTTAAGCTGGATACAGTATTTCTGGTTATTCTGTAATTTGGTTAAGTATGCAGTTTTCTATCTCAGTGTGGTACTTCTTTGAGTTTATATATATATATATATATATATACTGTATATATATATATATATATATATATATATATATATATATATATATATATATATATATATATATATATATATATATATATATATATATATATATATATAACTAAATCTGTTTCTGGAGCTGATTTAGTTTCATATATCAATGAGGATCTGTGCAGCATCTCCAAATGGGGAAGTAGAAATTTGGTTAAATTCAATAGTGATAAAACACAGTATTTACCAATTACACTTTCCAAATTAGATGATCTCGCACCAATTACATTTCAGGATGCAATCATTTTGCCAAATTCTAAAATAGATATGCTATGCCCCACCATTTCCTCCAATATGTCATTGATGGGAATGACAGATGCCGTAGCTACTTCACTCCTGAGCAGTTGCTTCAGGTATATAAGGGATTCATTCATCCTAATTTGGAGTACTGCTCTCATATCTGGGGTGGCTCTTCATCTGTCCAGCTGTTAGATAGAGTGGAATCAAAGGCATTTTGTCTTATTGACTCTCCTCCTTTAGTTGATAATGCCTCTTCCCTTTCTCTTTGCTGCAATGTTGCTTCACTCTCTCTCTTTTACAGGTATCTTAATGGGCAATGTTCGGTGAATTTGGCATCCTTTGTACCACTGGCAAGGCCGTGGGCTTGTAACACACGTCTTGCCCGCGGTGCCCACCGTTTCACCGTGGATGTCGGTCACACTAGAATAACCCGTTATAGTACATCCATCCTTCCTCACACAGCCAAACTGTGGAATGCTTTGCCTTCTGTGTTTCCATACTCTAACAATCTGTCTCACTTCAAAACGCTGGTTTTCTGGCATCATTGTGGTGTAGATTAACATAGTCTTTTTCTTTCCCAATTTGTTTCTTCTTTTTTCTCTTAATTTTTCGTCCCCTCCCCCGGCCCGGGTGGCCTATTCCCTGAAAAAAGAAACAAATTTAATATGACGGAAAATTACCCTTTTTTTTTTAAGTAACTGATGTTAGTGATAAATAGGAATGTAAATCCTCCATATTCCATTAATTCTTATGGGGAAAAATTCCACGCTATTTGCCGTTACAATAATTGTCTGTATTCATTTGTTGTTTAGATCCAAATTATGTAATTTTAATGAGGGTTTACTGTATGTCAATTGCATCAAAAAATGATTGAGTGTATGATGGTGAAAGAGTTTAGTAAAGAATCTGCATACCTCTGTACCTCTTAAAATACTGTACAGACTCTGGGTTTCGGATGGTTCCGTTCCTGGAGACTATCCATAAGTCGGAAGTGACCCTTTTATATGGATCACTAAACACACATACTGTACAGTAGTACACATAATGTATATACAGTTACTATACAGGTATGGGACCAATTATCCAACATGCTTGGGATCAGGGGGTTGCCAGATAGGGTTTTTCTGGAATTTGGAACACCAGGCCTAAAATTTACAGTAGAGTAAACCTTCTGTAATTGGCTGTGAAAACTGTTCAGGTCACTAGATTCACTCCCAATAGTAGCTTTAACTCTACACTCTAACATTAACACTTAAAATTGTAGGCATATAAACATCAATAACAAAGGCATATAAATAGCATTACTGAAAGCATAAAAGAGAGCAAAAATGATACAATTTAGTGTTCAAATTGCATCACATTTGCCCCTGGTGTTTGCCTGGCAATACTGTAGCGTCCCCTAGCAATGATGCTGCCACACGGACCCCAGATCTCCACACACTCAGCACACAGTTTCACGGTGGAAACCTGTAGATACTTAAAACTTTACACCTATTGATAATTATTCATTTTATTTATTTTTGCACTTTCTGTATGTAGGATTGTATGTGTATGTAACTGAGTTAAAAAAAAAAAAAGAGGAAAATTACATTATCTTCCCAAAATAATGAAATAACCAATACCTAACATACAGCTCATAGGTGGGGTATGGTTGGAAATCTCCCTGCTCAGCCTGGGAATTACTTGATGCTCATTTTATATAGGACATATGGGAGAATATCCGTAAAGTCAGAAATCCATAACCCGAGTCATCTGTAACTTATTTGAAAAACTTTTAAGTTAGTGGAAAGGCCAATGGTGTAGTGATCACAGTGGTTAATGATTTCAGCTTTCGGAGAACAAAGTTTTTTATGTTTTGAATAGTGTGTTTGTGTAGCCTGTCTGAGTGAGTCACTCTCTTTTCTTAAACTATCAAACTGGTTGTGACTTACCCTATTAGATCATCATTGTCATCATACTTGTCATAATGGATTGAATTTTTATTTTAATGTACAGTACAAGTTTATATGCATGTATTGTAGTGATGAAAGATTGCTAGGATGTCATTTATTATTATTTTTGAAGAAAAGTAAGTGATAGAAATTGTGTTTTTAAATAAGAAAATAAAATTTACGATGCTGCAGTAATTTCTAACTATAGTACACTGTTTTAGAGTGTAAAACCTCTTGAACATATTCATATACTGTATTCAGCTTCTACCTTCTGGTGTGTATAATTTATAATTGTTCAATATAACTTGTATATTATCAAGTTACTGTAAGCATCTTGAAAGTTGGGTTCATTGCACTGCATGCTACTTTGATCTATGCTTTCTGCTCTCCACTTATGCAAGTTTGTTGCAGTTTACTATAGTTGCTGCTGCTTCACCATCTTGTCACACAAGAGCATCTTCTTTATCAACACGCTCAGGCAAGGCTGACATCCAAGATCATGCCTATCACTCTTTCACGCACATTTCATCACTGCAGCACCTCTATCAGAGTGAAGACACCCAGACTCCTTATAAGAAGGTACTTGTGTGCATGTACTGTACAGTCTAAGAAAGAAGTATCTTTCCAGCTTTGGCTGAAACCTGGTGGATTATAATGAAAACATAATCATGACTACATCTGTTCAATTGGGACACCTGACTAGATACAAGCTTTGAGTTGTTCAATAAATGATGGTTTGAAATAGTTGACTCACTACAGTAATCTCCCAGTTAGCCGGAATCTTCGATCCCCGGAACTCTCCAATGGTCAGAATTTTTTTTTTTGAGTCTTACGAGAAATTCCGGGAAAATCTCTCCATTCTGGGCATGAGAAAAAATTTTCCGGGAATTCTGAGAGATTGCATTGATGGTAATGCCGTCTGGGTTACTGAACTTAATGAAGTGGTACATGTCTTGTATACATGTCCACTACCTTTGCAGGAATTTCTTGGAATTTGCCATTGTTTGTGTCACCAAACAAAAATCTTTTTGTTCAAAGCTTCTGGTTAATTCTCGAGAAAAGCTTTCCATGACTTAAAAATACTGCTGCCTGGAATGCAGATGGGTCTCTCTGTCTGTAATAAAAAGATTTTGCAAGATTGGCTGCGCGCTGACCCACATCGGGGCCTGGGGGGCGAAGATGTAATAATTATTCAAAGTAAATAAAATTTATAATAAAAAGTAAAATAAAATAATAATGATGACAATAGTATTAATAACACTGTAATAATAATAATAATAATAATAATAGTAATAATAATAATAATAATAATAATAATAAAGAACTATAAAGAAAAAATCAATAGTGAGAAATGCTATATGTATGTTGTGTTGTCAATGGTAAGAGAACAATTGAGACCCTACAATTGTGTGTAAATGAGGCAGAAAGACAGATCAGCAACCTGGGACTTGGTCACAATTTTTGTGATGCCATATAGCAGCAGGGTCCACCATTAGACAACACATTATGCTTCCAATATCTTGCCAGGCGGTAGTACCTCCCTGTTTGGTAGTTGCCTACTACCTACTACCTTAGCTAAGAAGCTGGTTGCCCATCAGGCTGATCAGCTCATTTATTATTTCAGGTGACTGGTATATGTTTTTTCAATCCACTGATGTAAACCAGTACAGGTACACCACCGATTTTCCGGGAACTGGTGCTCCGGCATCTCCTTTAGTCCGGACAAAATTATGAGAGGGCACTTAACTTTCCTCCCTCCCGGCCAGGGTGAAGGCAGTTTTAGGCTTAAAGTTTTTATCTTATAAAATGTAGCTCATTAGACTTAGCAGAATATAACTTGTATTGCTGGAATCCTTGTTAGATAGTGATTAATTTGAGTATAAACATCACATAGTTTGCACAAGAGATAAAAATTTTAGTCCTTTAGTGTAGTACAGTACATTTGAGTACAAAGTGTGAACAATAATGTTGCTGAAAATTATGATTTTTCACATTTAATTTACATTTAATATTTGTTTAATTTAAGTTTCTAGCAGTCCTTGGTGCTTATAGAGTCACAGGAGGTGTATAATTAGTAGGTCAGAGGTGTATTATTGAATTATTATTACCTGACTTTGGCTGGTCCAGCAAAATGGATAATCCGGCAAGGCTTTAGAACCAAGGGTGCCGGAAAATCGGTGGTGTACCTGTATTATCATCTATTGGCAGTTTGAGAAGCTAATATAGATTGTTCTCAGATTTCACATGGCCTCTTTCTGGGCCATGGTGTCTGGGCCACTGTGTTTGTGTAATTTTTGTGTGAAAATATTGGGTGGGTCCAAGCATACTTTGTCCCTCTTCCCCAGTAATATTATTGGAGGGGCCTGCCCCCCCCCCCCTTTTCCTACCTCACTGATTAGGACATTACAAACTGGAAAAAAATAGACTTTATTTTTTACATTTTCGTTATCAGTTGTTCATTTTTTTTTGCGTCTTGGTGGCTGAAAATAGTGCTTTCTGGTAGGAAATATATCTATTTTCTCAAAAATGTTCATTGTAAGGAATGAAAGACAAGAAAAAGTGATTAAACCTTAGTTTCCATTGTGTAAATGGTGATTTCGAATATTTTACCTCTTCACTACAGGGACTCCACTTAAAATATATTACAGTATTTGGCTAATGCTAGATGATTTGAATCAGCACAGAGGGGATCCCATATACAAGTGGTTAGTAAATTATCTCCCTTAAGGGAAGCTAGGTCTTTCTCATGGTTCATAACTGCAATTATTAAACATTTTTTCTATTTTTCAGGTCTTATTTTCAAATTTTGGTAGTTCCTTATCAGTGTCTGTGTCTGATTCAGAGGAGGAGTCCTCAATTCCCGATTGCTGCAGTTGTCAATGCTGAACTTGTATACATCACAACAAACCATATTATTTTTTTGTGACACTACACCTTGCATAGAAAAATCACAGTATTGTTTTGGGTGCTGGAGCAGTGACTTCATGTTTGGTATGAGGTGTAAATTGTCATCAATCACCCACCCATTGTCAGCAGTTGACACCTTGAGGTACTGGACCATTACATGGTTCCACGAATGGCTGATAATTGGCCCGTTTAAGTTAAAAATGAAAACTATCCATAGTTGGTGGCAGTTTCTCATTTGTTGTGTTCATGTTTGCAAACAATTTGTACCGGACCAAATCAAGCGGGACATGTTCTTTACACAGTACAACAGAGACACTCATGACACTAAGGCCTCCTTGGTGTCCTGGGTGATGTCAGATGGACTGTTTCCAAGTTGTTGTAGATCATCACTCAATTCAGGCTGTGCTTCAACTACCTTCAACCATTTATGCTTTCTTATGCCACTGAAGGCTGAGGCTGAATCACATCTGGTGGCCATATTATTGGCTGGTTAAATATTGCTTATCTTCTCCGAGTTCATTTGCCACAACATGCATTAGACTCCTTCTTTGGCATACACCAGTCTGCAAAAAGTATCATCAGAAGTGCCAATAAATTGTTGTTGTTGTTGGTGACAACTATAATATCTAGTGAAAGAGTCTGTAGGGACAATGTTCAAATGCAAGAGATAAGGAACCCAACAGAACTGACACCATTTCCGACTTACGAACATCCTCAGGAACGGAACCCGTTTGTAACCCGGGGACCCCCTGTAATGGTGAGGAATGAAAAAACCTGAGAAACGTTGATACCGGAGTCTATAAAATCGGCTCTAATTAAGTTGGAAACAACATTTTTAACCAAAATAATCCTGAATAGTTTATTTAAATGTTTGATTAGATAAATATATTTTAAAAGACAAAAAAATTATTAGAAATGGGTGTTCGAGGCATGAATGGAGCTGGGTGTCACAGCGAAGCAAGTGGAATTATCCACTCTTAAGTGCCACATCACGCTCAGAGCCATATGTATTAGTGCAATACCACTGTACACGTACCATGTATTGTAAGTACTGTACTGTAAACAAAATAATTTATATACAGTATTACCCCGCCTAACGCGGTTTCACTTAGCGCGTTTTACCATAGGTGCCTCGCCAGAGCTGAACTTTCACTTAACGCGGGTTTTTTCCACATATACGCGGTGAGTGTCCGGCTCGAGAGCTAATTTTAGATTCGCCCCACCTGCCACCCTGCCTGACTGCCTGTTTTAGCTCATAAAATTCATACAAATTACCCAGCCAGAATATAATTTACATTGCTGGAATTCTTACAATATGATGATCATTTTGAATATAAACATCATAGATTTTGCATTAGACATACAAATTTTAGATATAAAGTTTATTCTTAGTAAATATGTTATTTTTTGTGCAAAATATATGACATTTGTATTCAAAATATTCCTGGGCTTTCAAGGAATCCAGCAATGTCAATTATATTATCCTAACTTTAGTTTGAGGTATTATTTATTACTAAAAGGTAAATATTCTGGTTTTCCCACACATCTGGTGAGACGGTTGGTGGGGGGTGGGGGGGAGGGAGGGACCGACCGACCGACCATCTGTTACAGTGAAGAATATTTTTTTTTTTTTTATTAACTGAAGATATTTGTTTTAGCTCATAAAATTCATACAAATTACCCGGTCAGAATATAATTTACATTGCTGGAATTCTTATAATTTGATGATCATTTTGAATATAAACATCATAGACTTTGCATTAGACATACAAATTTTAGATGTAATGTTTACTCTTGAGTAAATATGTTATCTTTTGTGCAAAATATATGACATTTATATTCAAAATATTCCTGGTCTTACAAGGAATCCAGCAATGTCAATTATATTATCCTAACTTTAATCTGAGGTATTATTTAATACTAAATGTTAAAAACTTTTGAAGGAGGATTGGTGGGGGGTGGGGGGGAGGGTTGGGACTGACCGCGCGGTTGGAAGAGGGGGGGAGGCAAGGTGGGGTACTTTGATTGACAGATAGTGTTGTGAAGAATATTTATTTTTTTTTATTAACTGAAGATATTTGTTTTAGCTCATAAAATTCATACAAATTACCCGGCCAGAATATAATTTACATTGCTGGAATTCTTACAATTTGGTGATCATTTTGAATATAAACATCATAGATTTTGCATTAGACATACAAATTTTAGATATTATGTTTACTCTGAGTAAATATGTTATTTTTTGTGCAAAATATATGACATTTGTATTCAAAATATTCCTGGTCTTACAAGGAATCCAGCAATGTCAATTATATTATCCTAACTTTAGTTTGAGGAATTATTTATTACTATACCTGGTTTTCCCCCAAAAATTTCTCAGAGGGAAGAGCCAGCGAGTGTATTGTGAGAAGAGGGGGAGGGAGTCAGTCCATTATTTGAATGGACATTAACTTGGCGACTGTATTTCTCTATTTCTCTTAAGTATTAATTGTGTGCATGTACCATCATAAAATTAAGATGTTATTTTTACTAGAACATAGGTATTGTGTCGGAAAAAGTGGAGTTTGGGGGTCGGGCTGGTTTCTATTGGAATTAATCCCATATGTTCTGTTGTTCACTTAACGCGGGACCCTCTGGGTTTTATTGACCGCGTTAAGTGGGGTACAACTGTACTACTACTATACTGTATATACTGTACATGTACTCACCAGCAGATGCTGTCATCTTGAGCCTAGAGTAGACAAACACTGTCCACTCTGCTGTAATAACTTTTTAATGTCATAACACTTGTGATGGAGGTAGGATAAGGGATTAGTGGGTCATGTTACTGACCTGACCTGATGCAATGTCAAGTCACCCATTGTATACAATATAAACTCTTCTCTCATGCAGTGGAGGTGGGGTGAGGGATTATTGGTCTTATTGTCAGAGTGGGGGATTAGTGGGTCGCATGACCTGAAGATGTCTTTAATAATGACAAAAGCTAAAGGGCTCCAGTGTTTCCCACTTACTGAATGTACAGTCACTTAACTGTAATTACTTTTTATGTTCTTAAAACTGTTTTAATACTGTATTCTTGGCTGATTGTGTCCTGGTACAGTAATGTACAGTACTGCACAACACAAATTGTACACAAAAACAGCAGCTAGCAAGGGAACAATCAGCTAGGCTACCCAAGCGCCTAGCATGTGGGAACACGTTTGAGCATATTGCAATCTCTTGGAACTTCCAGAACTATATTCCCAGGCCCAGAACGGAGGGGGTTGGAGAGATTTTCTCAGAACCTTCTTGGAATACAATATATCAGTGTACCTGTACATGGGATCTGCCATGTTACTGATATATAAACTGCATTGGTTTAACATTGAATTAGGGTTTGAAATTAAGGGACTTGCAGGTAACAGAATCCCCCGTCTACCTATAGTAAGACATTTGTGGTTGTAAGTTTCAGTGTGGTTCATGGGGCCTAACCCATCATGAACTGTGGGTTCGCTCACCCCAGTTCGTCGTGCTATCTCAGCGTTACGTATACTCTTGTTGTGAAGGGCAGTGATATCATCTTTCATATCTTGTGATGTCTCCTCGATACTTACTCGCTTCATTCGATGTAAGATCCTGTTGCTGATTGGCATGGCAATGGTTTTCATTTACGACATCCACTCAGAGTCATATAGTATATAGTATACTGTAATCTGAAGCCTCAGAGGACTCACTTCATTCAAAAACGTATGTATTCATTCATGCTCAAAGGTTGCGAATGTAGAACTACCAACCATTCCGAAACAGGTCGAATAGCATTGCTCGGAAAGCCTCGAATCACATCGACCCTGTGGCTAACGATACCTTTTTTGGCGGACTGTACATTTCATGTTTTTAAAAGTATTAATGCATCATATTCGGATACACACAGACTTAGTATAGAACAAGAGATGATGCACACAACATATAATGTATATTTCTTCCCATATACGGTATAATGGAACCATATCGTAAGTGTGATCCTCTTCATCTCCACTGGAATTGAAAGTGGGTTCCATACACACCCAGATATGGCCTTGAGATGGGTATGTACCGTATGTTGCCAGCGATTCATTTTATGAAACTGTAAAATATGTGGAAAATCATTTCAGTACTCTGATGTGACATAGAAATAAAGGAAATACTGTATAATATTAAACTAATAAAAGAAAAATGAAGAACATTAGTTTGAACAGCATTCTCTGAGAGGTGAATGTATGTATGGATGCATCACACTGTCTCCTCGCTGTGACGTCACAGCTGGGTGGCTGCCAGGTTGAACACTTCCATTCTTGGTGTCACCCATAGTATGGTTCATGGGCGGAAGGAGCTATTTTTTAACGTAAATCTGTGCTATTGTATTTTATGATGTCCTATGTATCATTTTCATTATATATAATAGCTGTTTTTGCTCATTTTTGGTATATGTAAAATACAGGTACAGAATAATGAAGGATTGGAACCTATTCCCTTTTACTCATTGTTAAATCTACTTATGACAGTGAAGTTCCCGAGAATTAAATGAATTTTGTGAAAATATCCAATTTATTGCCTGAGGTATACTGTACACATCCACATTATCTCGCTCTACACAAGGCCATACGTGCCACTTGGGAACCTTTCAAGAATCTTCTTTCGCATCTCTGAAATCTTCTGGAATCTAGAACCTTACATACATCTATTAACACCTTAGATGAAAAAATAACCGAGTTTACTGAAAGTATATCATAAGTTTGATTACTTATTTGTATTAATTTATTACGAGCTTAAATAAATCTAAGCTGTGTTAGTGTAATATGCTGACTGTTGTTTTGAACAGTTGTGCCTCCCTGCTGATATAGATGTCCGAATAACATATTCTGTCTCGGTAACGAGTGTAACGACGACACTGTGGCCGGTACTTGGGGTCTCTACTGTATGTTTATGTTGTGACTATGACTAATATTTAAGTTTATGGGAGATTTAGAATGATGGGAAAGGTGTTATACAGATCAAACTCCTCTAGCCCGACACCCTCGGGACCCGACCGGTGCCGTACCATAGAAATTTTTGAACCACAGAAGATCAGTTAAAGTCTGGGGACAAAATTCCTGTACTCCACGGATACATGAAATACAGATACAATACAGTACTGTACAGGTTAATAAAAAGTACAAAAATATTTAATGTCCATTTACTTGATTCTGTACAGTGATGTTTTATGCCATACAACAGAATATTGTCATACAGGAGTATTCCTCTGGAAGGTAACATTAATGTACAGAATATAGTAAGTAGTACAGTACAGTAATACTGTAACCTGCTCATCACAAAGGCAAACCCAGCTACAAGTTAGTTGTCATGTGACCACTGTTTAAATTTATAGTATAACCCCCATAATTTGTATCCCTAAATTCGAAATCAATCATTATTCATAATGTTTTGCTGTTACGAAATATACAGCTACTCCTCGACTTACGACCACTTGGACGTACGACCGCCCCAGTCGTACCAAATTTTTTTCAAATTACGTGTTTTCAAGTCCCGATGTTAGTGATTGCGCCGTGTACTGACAAAATTTTTTGTTGTAATTCCCTTTAAAATGGCTGGCAAGCTTAAAATTAAGAGTTTTGTGGTGCTGAGAAGAAAAAGAGACACCCATTTTAGATTTGCTATGTATTATCTTAGCATTTTCGACTTAAGACCAATTCAACTTACGACCTGGATTTGGGTCCCTAACCCTGCCGTAAGTCAAGGAGTGGCTGTATATTACAAATTTCGTAATATTTGGTAAAATTTTGAAATATGAGTGACATTTCCAAATACTGTAAACATGACTTACATGTTGCCAGATCCGATCACCCACCTCATTGTAACCACGTACTATACACATCACGCGTGTTGGTCACAGTCAGTTCACATTGGTCAGTCGTGGAGTATACATCTATGGTTTACCATGCAAGATTTTTCCCCTCTTGTTTTTCTATTATTGCCCAGTGTTTGAGCCATTATGTCTGATAACCCTGGACCAAGCACCTAAATCTGGTACTGCACTTAGAAATGTTTAAATTTTGATTGGGGCAGATGATGTAAAAGTAACCCTCCTCCCCCCTCGGGAGAAGGTGTCCCTCATAATTCGTAAGGTGCTAGATCCCTTACAGTACAGTATTTTGAATGATGTGCGTTTACTATAGTGCACATTAAGCCCCACAGGGGCAAATAATTTGGCTAAATATTCCATTGTTTTATATTAGATACAGTATCTTAATATCTGGTGGGTTTGTAATGAAAATAGTAATTTATAAAATATATCAATTGGTAGTTTTTTAATATAATGTACTTGGAGGGAATATAAGTGTCAGTACTTTATGTAAGTCTGGTGCAACTTATATAGCAGTACCTTCGCTTCCACAAATTGCTGATCTCACAGAAGAAACTGGGATGGTTGAATGAAATTAAAAACTGGGTCCCCAGAGAGATACAAAACCTTGGAGGATTGGTAAAAAGCAGCCCGAGAACGTTTAGAGTGGAGGACTGTGGTCACCAACCCTCAGATATGAGAATGGTATTCTGATTGATTGATTAGCAGATGATTAATGCCAGTGTTCCAGTGCACATGGCTGCCAGTCAGTAAAGGACTTGATTAGCGATATTTATGAACTCTACTGTACTGTAGCCCTTTTACTATTGTTGTGACAGTAGTAGTGACTGCTCAGTGTTTATCAACCAGTTTCAGATTTTGTGGTATTATTTTGTGGTTATTTAGATGAAAAGAAAGTAGGCTTTTCTGATCTCAAAAAAAGTAACCCCATGTTAAAACGTCTTCATGATAAGATTATAACCTAATTATCAGTTTTTCAAAAACGTAATCCAATCATAACTCAGGGGTCACCAGTAATCAGCTACACAGAGCATACTGTAACTATTAGGTTTGGTGACAAATAGTTTTATTGTTTATTTGTTGATAATGTTATTGAGCTAATTAGACTTGTGGTAATTAAGATACTTAGGGTGATGCTAAACTATTTTGTAACTTACTTCAGGAGGAAGATGAGCGTGTTCTGGCAGAGATCTTGTTTCAGCAAGAAACATTCAGTAACAGCGAGGCATCTGATGCTCCACTGCTGGCCCGACAGAGAACTATGACACTGAGCATCCATGAAGATGTGTCTCCTGCTAATACTGAGGCAGAAAATACAGAGTTTGAGCATGCAAGTGGTAGCAACTCACTCATCAGGCAGAACACTGTTACTCTCTCCAAGACTGAAGATGAAGACACATCAGCACAATGCTGTGAGAAGGAGTTCAGGCAAGACACCATCACTGGTGGGGAGGAAGAGAGTTTGTGCCAAGAAAAGAATGACAGTGACAGAATTAAGCAGTCAACAGATGTATCGAGCTCTGGTGTGTCTCGTCAAGGTAGTGAGGTAAGGAGTGTATTTCTCTGTTGGTTGCTTGTTGAGACTTTGTGCTGCAGGGATGATGATTGGATAACTGTTGTGCATAAATACTGTACTTCTTTAACCATATCCACTCTCGTTGAAGTTCATGGTAACTGAAAAAGAATGAGTAGAGATTCAGTTTATTTAGCTATATGAAAAGTTTTACTTACTCCTATACTGTAGATTTTAATATGAAAATACTAAAGTTAGATTATATTCATTTGGCATGTATAATTAAATTTCTTCAATAATAAATTGGTAGTAACCATGATCATCACTTAGTTATACAGTACCCCCTGTACTCTGTACATACAGTCTCTAATCTTTCTGAATTTCAACATTACCTATTTAGTCTAATTACTGTTGGGAGTAATGCTGTGTCCTCCAAGACAGTAATTATGTCTTTACCAAAGGAGTAGTTCTCTACTGTCTACCATGTAGTAGTACTCACTACTAAGGGAGTGATATTCCTGGCCCACTTACTTTTTAGTGTCTACCCCACTCAACAAATTACAGTGAGAAGTGTATTATATCTTTGATGTGTGAATTTGGCATTTGTAGCACTGACCCTTCACTTTGGTGTTTTTTTTTCTAGTACTACTGTACTGTATTGTTGAAAACTTTTTTGGTGTGTTTTAACATTTGTTAAATTCTTTTACTGTTGATGCTGTTGTGTTGCATGGAAAGTGTTATAACAAATAGTTTATGTACACATTGTAAATTCATGTTAACAGTTAACTTGTTGTTATTGTTCTTCCTGAGATGATTATCATGTTGATTACTTACACCAATACAGTATGTAGGAAGGACACTTTTAGATGTCACAAATGTTTGATCCCAAGAAAAATCCTAATTCAGATTCATTTCTAAGAAATTGTAATCTAAACCAGTTGTATCTGGCATGTCATGGAGTGCCCAGCTTAGACCCTGCAGTCTGTCTCCAGCATTTGTGAGATCTTGTTTTATTTATTTTAATGTTTTAAATATATGATCTACATTTCTATGTACAGGTGCATAATTATGTCAAAGTTAGTTTTCTAGAAAAGAAAGCATTTTTTAACATTGACTGGGCATCAAAATTGAGAGTCCAGCGTGCATATGGCCTCAGTTATAATGACTCCGAATGTGAGATAGTGCGCTATATTTAGTTTCTTGGGCTTTTACAGCCTTAAAAACTTTTATAGCATTAACACTTTTATACTGTACTTGTTATGTAAGTTTTTTGCTACTCATAAGTTAGTACTTCATAAATAGGTACATGAACATCCTTGACTCCTCATACAGTAGACCCTCGATATGTTATGAGAATGGGACCGAGAATTATAGCACAATACGGAGTCACTTTATATTGTTCTGTGTATATCAATAAGTAATATACAAAATAATTTATTTAAAACAACAATTTTACTCACATAAATAGTAATGTCATCATTTCAAAAAACTTTTTAATGAATTTTAACTCACCTTGAGTCAGAAAAAAATGTTTCCTGGACTTCAGTTATTGAAATGCGAGGTTGATTGATGAAGCATTAGATCTTGGGGTGTCATGAATCATGTGTGTCTGCATAGATGTTGCTGGCCAGTGCTAGCAGACGATGTGCCAGTACAGGTACTGTACTGCCATCTAGTAAGGGCATGGAAATGTTTAGGTTTTCTTCAGCTAAATGATTATCTTAAGCTCATACCAAACCTTAAAAATACATATTTGTTGAAATATTTTATGCCTCTCTAAGAAATAAAACATTTGAAACAGCCTGAAGTAAAAAAGAAAAACACACAATTTACAGAAAATTGTCAGAGCTAACTTCTTTGGAGTTTATAGTCAGGGTGGGGGATCAGAGCAAAAGCACTTCAGTCACTAAAACAGTGAAAGCACTTCACAGTCACTAAAACAGTGAAAGCACTTCAGTCACTAAAACAGTGAAAGCACTTCAGTCACTAAAACAGTGAAAGCACTTCAGTCACTAAAACAGTGAAAGCACTTCACAGTTGCTAAAACAGTAAAAGCATTTCACAGTCACTAAAACTGAGTACTGTAGGCTCTCATATTTGGACACCTATTTAGACTAAAAACCTTGTGAAATTCAAATCGTCCAAATTTAAATACAACTTCCTTTGGAGAAAATTAATTTGAGTCTGGTACTTTCGATGTTTGGCTAAATTTTGCCTTATTTACCCTACTTTTTTGGTGAATTACTACCTGTAATAAAGCAACATCCTAATAAACCAACAAAAATAGCACAGATAAAGTTAAATAAAAAGTAAAAAAACACAGAAAAGTTCTTATGTTCTACAGCTTTAGCTGGAGTTGAACCTGATGACTTGGCAACTTCGTCATCCAAGTAAAAACACACACAACAACATTGGCTGTCCTTATGTTTTCAACATTACCACCACTGATGGGTAGAATTTTTGTTTTAAATTCAGAAACATTAATTAAAATATATGTGAACAGTAAATAAGTGTTGCTTTCATATTCTTATGAAAAGTAATGATGATGTTTTCACATGTGCGCACTTACATACTCGATCTCACTTTTTTCTTTACCATTAATGGTTAGCTACTTCTATTGTTCCATTTATTAACATTAAATAACTACTTAAAACAACCATATTAATTTGTTTACATTAATTTTACTACAGCTACAACCAGGGTCTTAATTCTTCACCTTTTTTATATGTACTGTAGAACCAATCGGTCACTGGTTTTGTAAACATTAACCAAAACAATGTTGTCTCATCTCCTAGTGTGTTTTAATATTCTACGTATTATTAATGAATTGTATTGTTCATTTTGCACACATAAACATTAATTCAATCAAAAAGACATTCAGTAATAAACAATAATGAATCTTTTATACATTAGAGAAATGGCGCTGTTTACACGATTGTGCACGTCTGAACGTTGGCGGACCACTCAAACCCGTCGAAATTCGAGTTTCCGCCGTCGAAATTTGAAATTGTGTAGTGTTTTTTTTTGTGTCCAAATAAAAAACGTCGAATTAAAAACTTGCGAAATTTGAGAACCTGCTGTACCTGTACTACACTGTGAATTTTGTGATTTCCTGTAACTCTAAGGAAAAAATGATAGGGGTCGTCGCTGCTCACCTCATGTTGACAACAACATACCCAAAGCACTTTTCAGTAAAAAAACAGAAAAAAAACAGAGTACAGTGTGAACTTTAGTAGTGTCCTCTCACTGTAATTTAAAAACAAAACAAAAACAGGTGATAAATAACAACACCGATAATTAATCATTGAGCAACAGCGTATGCACACGTGTAACCAACAAGGAACAATGGCTGGACTGTAGTGAACTAGATGGCCACGTGGCAGCACGCAGGTAGATGACACCGCAGCTGACAAATGCAGTGAGAGCCATATTCCGAGTTGGCAGGAAGGTGAATATTGCTAATGTGGGTTTGTTTATATCGTAAATAGCGGAGTGGTCTTAATACATCTGCATCGTTAACATGAAATATTACAGTTAGGGACATAGCAGATCAAGAGGATACCTGTCTAACCAAATTTTTTTTTTTCCCCCGTGTTGGGGGTACTTGTGTCCAGTGCTGGACCCCAGTCTGGTTTGCAAGGGGAATCTGGATTTAGTGAGTCCAGTTTAGAGGAAGTTTACTTATATTATTGGTAATTGTGAATATTTATTGGTATGCTAGCATTCTATATACAGTGATATCCCTGTTAGCAGGAACAATTGGTGCAGATCACTTCTGGGTATGAGAGAGTGCCGGGTAACAAGACGACTTTCTCAAACTCGGAAAAATTCCTTATCCCCGGAACCTTTTCCGTTTACTGGGAAAAGTTTCCGTGTGTCTAAACTAGACATCTTGCACAGACTCACACTAGCTCACTATCCCAGAACGTTTCTGGTTGCTGGAGATGTTTTCCTTGAGTTTAAACTCCTGGAATCTGTAAATACAGTTCTAATTAAGTTAGAAACTTCATTTCTTTCCGATAATAATCCAGAATAGTTTATCTTAAAGTTTGGTTAAATAAATACAGTATATTTAGAAATTAAAAGTCTATAGGATATGGGCATGAATGAAGCTGTGTGTTACAGCAAAGACTTATTTTTCACTCCCATGGAACTGTGGGGGATTAGTGGGTCTCATGTAACTGACCTGACCTGATGCAATGTCAGGTGGAGGTAGGATGGGGGATTAGTGGTCTCATATTACTGACCCGATGGAATGTCAGGTCACCATTTCTTGGGTGGAGGATTAGTGTGTCTCATGACCTGAAGATGTCTTGAATAAACACAAAACTTAAAGTAATATTGAGTGAGAAAGCGCTTTTCGCACGGAGGCTGCCGGGCTTGTGATGGTGACGCCAGCATCACGAGTATAAACAGCCGCAGCTGGCAGGCCCTTTGTTTTAACGGATCTGAACAGGAAAAGGAGAAAAACATTCTCAGGTTTTTTTACTTCATTTTTTGCTTCCCTATTCAACATGAGCAAGAGAGCAAGATATGATAGTGCTGGTTCAAAAGCTAAAAGAAAGTATACAGTAGTACCCCGCTTAACGCAGTCAATAGAACCCACAGGGTACCGTGTTAAGTGAAAACCACGCTAAGTGAACAACAGAACATATGGGATTAATTCCAATAGAAACTGGCCCGACCCCCAAACTCCACTTTTTGACGACACACAACTATGTTGTAGTAAAAATTTTATCTTAACTTTATGATGGTATGAACAAACAAGTAATATAGAAGAGGTTAGGTTAGGAAAAATAAAGGTTAAGTTAGGAAAAATAAAGGATAGGTTAGGAAAACTAAAAGTTAGGTGTAACACTTACGTTAGTAGAAGACACACACTGCACGACCTCACAGTGCGGCTTGCCCAGGCGGAGGGAGGCGGGAGGGAGGAAGGAGGAGGGAGAGGCGAGAGCAGGCAGGCAGGCGGGTGGCGGGTGGGGCGAATCTAAAAATAGCGTTTCGAGCCGGACACACTGCGCGTATACGTGGAAAAACCCGCGTTAAGTGAAAGTTTGGCTCTGGCGAGGCACCGCGTATACGTGAAATCGCGCTAAGCGAAACCGCGTTAAGCGAGGTATTACTGTACAAGCTTAACCGAGAAACTAGATGTGTTAAAATGATATGAAAAGGGTGAGAGGTCTGTGAATATTACAGTATATGGAACAAGCAATGGACATAATATTATTTTTTGAAGTGGAGCCGTTAACAGAACGAAGCATTAAAATTAACAGGGACGTGAAAAACACATATGACCTCTACATAAAGATGTATAATGAGAAAAGAAAGTGGCTGTGAAAGGTTCATTCGACAGCTTTATTATTCAAAGGCCTAAACCACCAACTTCAGCTACACCACCAAATTCGGCATCATAAATAGCTTCAGCAACAACTTCAGGTTCAGTAATGGTTTCAGCAACAGCTATGATATCTTTATGGAAAGCTTCAGCTTCAGCCAGAGTTGAACCTGATTGATGAAATCATCTAAGCAAAAACTTGCACAATATTTATTGTATGTCCTTATGTTTTAGACTTTACCACCATTTGTGAGTAGAATTTTTGTTTTACATAAGTAAGTATTATTTAAAACATATGTGAACAGTAATAAGTGTCGCTTTCATATTCTTATGTACTAGAGAAATGACAATGTTTTCACATACAGTGGTCTCTCGGTTAACGAGCACAATTCGTTCTAGAAGGTTGCTCATTAACCGAAACCATTGTTTCAATGGGTTTTTGGGTAATTGG